CTTGTTTTTTCCTACCCCGCCCCCCCAGATGTTCTGGTTTAACTTGGATTTAAACTTGGAGAATGGTCAGTTTGGATGAGCTATTACCAGCAGGAGAGTGAGTTTGTGTGTGTATGGGGGTGGAGGGGATGTGAGAAAACCTGGATTTGTGCTGGAAATGGCCCACCTTAATTATCATGCACATTGTAGGGAGAATGGTCACTTTGGATGAGCTATTACCAGCAGGATAGTGAGTTTGTGTGTGTGGTTTTTGGGAGGGGGGTGAGGGGGTGAGAGAACCTGGATTTGTGCAGGAAATGGCCCAACTTGATTATCATGCACATTGTGTAAAGAGTTGTCACTTTGGATGGGCTATCACCAGCAGGAGAGTGAATTTGTGTGGGGGGGTGGAGGGTGAGAAAACCTGGATTTGTGCTGGAAATGGCCCAACCTGATGATCACTTTAGATAAGCTATTACCAGCAGGACAGTGGGGTGGGAGGAGGTATTGTTTCATATTCTCTGTGTATATATAAAGTCTGCTGCAGTTTTGACGGTATGCATCCGATGAAGTGAGCTGTAGCTCACGAAAGCTCATGCTCAAATAAATTGGTTAGTCTCTAAGGTGCCACAAGTACTCCTTTTCTTTTTATTAACAAGAGTGTTGTATGTAAGCCACGGGAGGCAATTGTCTTGCTCTGCTTGGCACTGATGGAGTCTCAGCTGAAGTACTGTGTCCAATTCTGAGTGCCACACTTTAGCAAAGATGTGGACAAACTGGAGAGAGTCCAGAGGACAGCAACAAAAATTATCAACGATTTAGAAAACTTGACCTATGAGGAAAGATAAAAAAAATCGGGCATGTTTAGCCTTGAGAAAAAGACCTGATAAGTCTTTAAATATAGAATCATAGGACTGGAAGAAACCCCGAGAGGTCATCTATTCCAGTCCCCTGCACTCATGGCAGGACTAAGTATTATCTAGACCATTCATGACAGGTATTTGTCTTACCTGATCTTAAAAATCTCCAATGATGGAGATTCCACAACTCCCCTAGGCAATTTATTCCAGTGCTTAACCACTCTGGAAGTTAGGAAGTTTTTCCTAATGTCCAACTGAAACCTCCCTTGCTGCAATTTAAGCCCATTGCTTCTTATCCTATTCTCAGAGGTTAAGAACAACAATTCTTCTCCCTCCTCCGTGTAACAACCTTTTATGTATTTGAAAACAGTTTTGTCCCCTCTCCAGACTAAACAAACCCAATTTTATCAGCCTTCCCTCACAGGTCATGTTTTCTAGACCTTTAATCATTTTTGTTGCTCTTCTTTGGAATTTCTCCAATTCGTCCATATCTTTCCTGAAATGTGGTGCCAAGAACTGGACACAGTACTCCAGCTGAGGCCTAATCAGCACAGAGTAGAGTGGAAGAATTACTTCTTGTGTCCTGCTTACAACACTCCTGATAATAAATCCCAGAATGTTGTTTGTTTTTTTTGTTTTTTGTTTTTTTTGGGGGCAGTGTTACCTGTTGACTCATTTAGCTTGTGGTCCACTATGACCCCCAGATCCCTTTCTGCAGCATTCCTTCCTAGGCAGTCATTTCCCATTTTGTATGTGTGCAACTGATTGTTCCTTCCTAAATGGAGTACTTTGCATTTGTCCTTATTGAATTTCATCCTATTTACTTCAGACCATTTCTCCAGATCATTTTGAATTTTAATCCTATCCTCCAAAGCACTTGCAACCCTCCCCTTCCCCCCAGCTTGGTATCATCTGCAAACTTTTTAAGTGTACTCTCTATGCCATTTTCGAAATCATGTTGATTTCACTGGGCACATACAAACTTCTGAAAAATATTTCCACTGATAATTGGAATTTACAAATAGACAAAAATGCTGCTTGAAAATTTTAGAGTTTGATTTAAGGGTAATTTAAATATTTATCTTTTGACATGTGATGTTTACAATGTGTGTTTTAATGGCTATAAAGCTTTAACTTCTTGAATATCAACTCCATCAAATTGTCTAAACCCCCATTTGTCTGAACCAGCCATAATTTCCCACAACTTCAAATTTAAATGCATAAAAATAAAAAATGCTTAAATATAAACACTGGTATATGATTTTTTTAAAAATAATTTCAACATTCTGCCAAGCCTAAATATTTACATATTCACTCATAGCATGTGCTTGAATTATTGGATGCATTTTATGGAATGATTGTTTCATGAGAGAAAAAAATGTAAAACACTTGTCCTATGTCTTTTTCCAAAAAAGCTGTTTAGCACAGTTCTATAAATTGGAATCTCAAGCTCTGTGTCTTTGTCACCTGACTATTGCAAGTGGCCTCACAGTTGCCTTTATAAACTTCGCTTCCTAGGACAATAACCAGCCCAGATAAAGTGACAGAAATAAAACGGGAACTTTGTCCACATGACACCATCAGATTTTCAAAAAGTTAACGTTAGTTGGTATCCTGCTGAGCCTTAGTAAACTGCTATGGGTGGTGACCAGCATACTTGGAATTTAAGATGGCTGTAAAATGTGTTCCCAGGATTTTTCCTTACCTAGCATGAAACCAGTCATCTAGCTGCAATGTATGTGGCTCTTTGTCAGCAGTATAGGTGAAGACACAAAGAGACAGTAAGGGTCACAAAAATAAATGAACCATTTAGGGCTGTTGATTAATCGCAGTTAACTCACTTGATTAACAAAAAAATTAGTCACTATTAAAAAAAATTAATCACGATTAATCACAGTTTTAATCGCACTCTTAAGCAACAGCATACCAAGTAACATTTATTAAATATTTTGGATGTTTTTCTACATTTTCAAATATATTAATTTCAATTACAACACAGAATACAAAGTGTACAGTGCTCATTTTATATTAATTTTCCATTACTAATATTTTCACTCTAAAAACAAAAGAAATAGTATTTTTCCATTCACCTCATACAAGTACTGTAGTGCAATCTCTATTGTGAAAGTGAAACTCAAATATATTTTTTTTTGTTACATAACTGCACTCAAAAACAAAACAATGTAAAACTTTAAAGCCTACAAGTCCACTCAGTCCTACTTGTTCTTCAGCCAATTGCTAAGACAAACAAGTTTGTTTACATTTACAGGACATATGCTGCCTGCTTATTATTTACAATTTCACCTGAAAGTGAGAACAGGCGTTTGTGTGGCACTTTTGTAGCCAGCATTGCAAGGTATTTACATGCCAGATATGCTAAATATTCATATGCCCCTTCATGCTTCGGCAACCATCCCAGAGGTGCTTCCATGCTGCTGATGAGTGTTACAAAAATCATGCATCAATTAAATTTGTGACTGAACTCCTTGGAGGAAGAATTGTATGTCTCCTGCTCTGTTCTACCCAATATTTCATGTTACAGCAGTCTCATATGATGATCCAGCACATATTTGTTTTAACACCACTTTTAGTGCAGATTTGACAAAATGCAAAGAAGGTACCAATGTGAGATTTCTAAACATAGCTATGGCACTCATCCCAAGGTTTAAGAATCTGAAGAGCCTTTCAAAATCTGTGAGGGACGAGGTGTGGAGCATGCTTTCAGAAATCTTAAAAGAGCAACACTGATTCTTTTTTGGAGCTTTGGGTTCTGTAGTTTTCTCATCAATCTTCTGATGATGACATCTGACTCAGATGATGAAAATGAACATGCGTCAGTCCGCACTGTTTTAGATCATTATGGAGCAGAACCTGTCATCAGCATGGATGCATGCCATCTGGAATAGAAGTTGAAGCATGAAGGGACATATGAAATCTTAGCACATCTGGCACGTAAATATCTTGTGACGCTGCTACAACAATGCCATGTGAATGCCTGTTCTCACTTTCGGGTGACACTGTAAACAAGAAGCTGGTGGAATTCTCTCTCATAAATGTAAACAAATTTGTCTGTCTGAGCAATTGACTGAACAAGAAGTAGGACTGAGGGGACTTGCAGGCTCTAAAGTTTTACATTGTTTTATTTTTGAATGCAGTTTTTTTTTGTACATAATTCTACTGTTGTAAATTCAACGTTCATGATAAAGAGTGCATTACAGTGCTTGTATTAGGTGAATTGAAAAAATATTTCTTTAAGTGAAAATACTTGTAATCAAAAATAAATATAAAGGGAGCACTGTACACTTTGTATTCTGTTGTAATTGAAATCAATATATTTAAAAATGTAGAAAATATTATAATAAATGGTATTCTATTGTTTAACAGCACAATTAGTCTTTTTAATCATGCAATTTTTAAAAATTTCTTGACAGCCCTAATAAAAACCAAACGTTCAACCAATTTTGCAGTAAATCATTTCAGTGCTAAGATGTTTTATATGCACTGTGGATTTTTTTTAAGGTGTGGTGAATTATGGATCAGAACTCCACAATGTAACAATTTTACAAAAAACAATCTAAATGAGTACTTCCTCCCATAAGTGAGCTCTGGGATCTGGAATTTCTGGTGCATAAATGCAAATGAAACATAGCTCTTGAACAATACAGAGAGCAGATTGGCTATGCAAACTCCTTTTAGAAGTGCTACTCCTATTTCAAACACTTCACAGAAGCTGATGGCCATCTGGAACTCCCACACCCATAGTTTTACATGGTGCTCAGCTTCAAGCCCAGCAGTCCATCAAGAAGCCAGTTACGTTTCCCTGATTCTCTGCCTCTACCATGGCCTTAGAGCAGGTTACAGCTGTCCTCTGGAGCAGAGGCTGTGGGGAGTATTATGCAGGAGCCAGCTATGCTGGCTCTGCCTGCTAGTGACTTTCCCATGCTAAGGGAGTTAGGAATGGAGCAACTGTGGACTAGAAAATCTGGTTGTGTTATTGTTACACTAGCTGTATAAGCTCTCAACCTAATGCAAGTAAACAACACTAGAGCTGCTCTCAGAGTTCCATGAGAGATTTTCCACCTGCATTTCCTTACACACTGTCACCACCGAGGTTACTCATGTGTATATAGGTTTTAGTTGCCGGTTATGAAGTAACTTTACCTGCAATTGAACCAATTTGTCAGCCAGTGTTCTGTTTGATTTTTCGATATAGTGATTTCTTGGCTTCTGTATGAATGACACAAAAGGAAAATCATGTTTAACCAAACCAAAGTCACCATAGGTAGCAGAGACAACAAAACAGACCTACTAGAATAAATTCAAAGCCAGCCAAGTGTCTTAAAGCAGTGCAGTATATCACGCTATAATACAGGTGACCCAGTTTCAGGAGAAACCCTTGTATTATATATGTCACTGAAATGACAGGCTTGTTTCACTGAAGAACTTGTTGAATGTTTCCATAGCCTCTCGTGCTACACAATCTCACTAGATACCTCTCATGGCAGAGAAATGTCCCTATGATACTAACAGGCTTGGAAGAAGGCAGTTGGTTGAGATGGTGCTACTAGAATGAAGGCATGTTAGAAGGGTGCAAAAATCAATACATTTACTGTATACAGATTCAACACTGATCTATTCCTATTTTAAAATGCAGAAAATTATATTGAATCTATTTCAGACCAAATAGATGAAAGCATTAGGATAATTTAAACCTGTTCACAAAGGTTCCAACGTCTCTCTCTGAGGGCATTTTACAATTTATAGTACAGATACACCTATTTCTGACATACTGTGGCTTATCCAAGGACACTCGCTCAATCTGCTGTATAGTAAATGGACTAAAAGCAATTTGAAAGGAAATGTAATCAAAATATGTAGTACTTCTCTCACTAATGACTCAGGATGAAATTCTCCCACGTGCAGAGGGTCAGCTGCATTGTAGCCTAGAAAGGAGTATATCAACTTCTCAAATGAATGCACCTGGTATAATGTATTTTTCATAGTAGCACAAACTTGGCCATTTGTATAAGGAAAAAAAGTCAAAGAGAAAGAACACAGTAGCAATACTTCATAAAATTTTTACATGGCATGCACTTACTTGTCATGGTACATCCAGGGAACAGTCCAGTCTCCGCTAAAAAAAAAAAATAATAAATCATTTTTTAAAAAAAAATTAAGGAATTTTCTGCCCCTCATCTCACAAAAAACTACAACTAAAATCACCCAATCTTTTTGTGTATGTAAAAGGACATTGTACTTTGGATGTAGTTTTAAATGGCACAGTAAAGGCAATGGGACCTTGTGCCCACCTCCACCAGTCCCTCCCTGTGTGAGGTATAAGATTACAAAGGGAGGACCTGAGGTCAAGAGATTTATCTAAGATAACATAGCAAGTCAGTGGAAGAGCTGGCTGGGGAATGACTCTTTGTTCCTCATCCAGACCACTAGGGCAGACATTCCCCAACTGTGGTGTACGCTGGTTTGCAGAAAACTGGCTGATTATGGTAATGCAAATAATAAATCAAAGAAAAATGCTGCTGGCTTTCCTTTTCATTATCAGCTGCTAACTCTTATTAAGGCAGTGAAAGAGACAGGGTAGTCTTGCAGTTCAGGTACTAGATTAGGAATCAGGAGATCCGAGTTCAGTTCTTGGCAGTATGTGGCCTTGGGCAAAATCACTTAATCTTTGTGCCTCAGGTTCTCAACTGCAGAACAAGGATAGCAGCACTTCCTTTAACCCAACTTTTGTCTGTTTACATTTTGAACTATTATAAGAGACTGTCTCTTATTATACGTCTATCACAGTTGGAGCCACTAGAAGATTTTCAAAGGCAAAAATGGCAGTGTTTTATTTCAGAGTAGCAGCCGTGTTAGTCTGTATTCGCAAAAAGAAAAGGAGGACTTGTGGCACCTTAGAGACTTATGCTCAAATAAATTGGTTAGCTTTCATGAGCTACAGCTCACTTCATCGGATGAAGTGAGCTGTAGCTCACGAAAGCTTATGCTCAAATAAATTGGTTAGTCTCTAAGGTGCCACAAGTCCTCCTTTTAGTGTTTTATTTGAACACTTAATGGCAGTTAGATGCCTAACTGCCATTTTGCCTTTGAATCTCTTCCTTTAGGCACTAATTTAATACTATAGATTACATACATAATTTCCCAACATTACTTTTCCATGTAGCAACTGCTGTAATTGCCATAGGGTTGTATGTGATCATGAATGGGAGGGTAATTAACCATTGTGTTCTATTACTCTTTAAAACATATTTAAATGTCAAATATGGGTGCAAGGTTTCCAGATGATTTTTTTTTTTAGAAAATTGAATCTGGTTGTTGGATATTAAATACACACACACACAGAGATTATATAGGTCTGTGTGGGATTTAGCAACACATTCTTATTGGATATGACAGAGAATGAGAACTGATTCTTTGTTTTGAGGACACAAGTTTTAGCAAAGATATGAAAAGCTTACTGTATTTAAGGTTTCAGTTTGAAATACAACTAAAACCGTACAGACTGCAAAACAATTCCAAAGAGCCAAATACATTTGCAACAAAAATATGTTTAAATATGACATCTCTGACGCAGGGAAGTAAAATAGGGAACAGAACTGGGAAATATTAATTTAACACAAATGAGAAAATGGTTACAGAAAACATGAACACCAGACTGAGTTAAGGTTGGCCACAGTGTTCCCTCTGATTTTTCCCACACATGCAGAATGAATTTTGTTATGTGCACCAATATGGAGGCAATGTCTGACATCACCTCCATATTGGTGCACATAACAAAATTAATGTGGTGGGGGTGGGGCTGAGGGGTTCGGAGTGTGGGAGGCGGCTCTTGGCTGGGGCAGAGGGTTGGGGTGCAGGGGTGTGAGGGCTTCAGCTGGGGGTGTGGGCTCTGGGTTCGGGCCACGGAAGGGACGCCCGTCTGCAGCAGGTCCAGGGCTGGGTTCAGGCCTGGGGAGGGGTGCCCTGGCTGCGGCAGCTCCGGGGCTGGAGGCGGGGCACCCCTCCCCCCAGCCCAGCAGGTCCAGGACTGGGTTGGAGCTAAAGGAGGGGTGTCCCTCCCCGGGTTCTCTGTGCACCTGTGCAGTACTTAATAGGCCACTTCATGGCTGTGTAGCTTACAGGGAACTTAGGTTGCCAACCCTCCAGGATTGTCCTAGAGTCTCCAGAAATTAAAGATTATGTCATATGATGAAATCTCCAGTAATATGTCTATCCAAAATTGGCAACCCTAGCCTGAGTGGGGGCTTTTGTTTGTGATACCTGCAAATAATATGTTTTTATTAATTTTTGAAATTTAATTTGTGTATCTACTTCCAGTGGATACACACACACACACCAGTTGAACCTTTATAACACTAGTGCTTTACAAGCTTCAGTAGCATTCAATTCTCTTCCCTACTCACCAATTATTTTTCTTTTGTATGTATCTCTTCCCTTCTGAGTTCCTGATAGGACTAGAAACAGGAATTAAGTAAATGCAGGTGGCAAGGGAGAGAACAGTAGAAGAGATTCGTCTGAGCATGTCCAATCCCTCTCCTTGTTATTGGAAAGAAAGGAAGAGCTCCCCACCTTGTCCCCAGGTGATTGTGTTCTGGTGTTTCCAGTTGCAGTGGGAACGCAGAAGAGCAGAGGGAGTCATTCAAATGAGAAATGAACTAACCACACATCTTAAAGGGTTAAAACAGGTTCTGTTTGTGTGTGTGTGAGTTTAGTCAAACTGCTCTATAAAATAACTACAGTTTTGCATCTGCAAGAAGCCAAGCCCTCATTTGCCCCTGAAGTCAGTAGAAGCTGAGTGTTTTCCTCAAGACCTAGGATCAGATCTTTTACTTTTTAGATGCTGGCAAGTCCCCCAGTGGTACAATCACACACATTTAATCCTGGTTTTATAGTTAAAATTTACCTGTTAAAATACACAACTCCACTCCCAAAGCAAAATATTAGAAAGGCCATTCGTCTGGGGGACATTTTTATCTAATGGGAGAAAAAGAAGAAGTTTATAAGAGACTAAATTAAGCAAAGGATGCATTAAATGTACAACTATGTCTAAAGTCTGAGAGAAATTGGTCTCTCTCTCTCAAACAAGGGTAAGTTCACCAATTTAACTTAAACTTGGTTTAAAACCAATTTAGTTAAACTAGTGCATAAGGCTATGTGGATCTTTATTTCAGTTTAAAATGAGGGTTATTTGTGGTTTAGCTTAAAACTATTCCTAATTGACTGGAGCTAAACCAAAACAAAACCCTGCAAGCATACAAACACAAGTCTTAGAACAAAAGAAGAGTGTCTACACATAGCACAAGCTAAAATACAAAACAAATTTACCTCCATCAAGTCTGGGGATTACAACAGTCAAGGATTCTATATCTGATATTCGATATTTGGCTTCAGTTGATAGTCTTCAGTTCTTTGCCCTATGTAAAAGAAAAAAGCTCAGTTTCCCTACAGGATTAGTAACATTCCACAGTTTCTTCCATTTCTGCCCTTAAATTCCCAGACTGAGTTACTTTTCTGATTAAAAACAGAGAGATAAAGTACTGCTAATTCATGTCAGTTTGAAACCGAAGCACCAATTTCTGGCAGCTCAGCTACGATTTACACGTGCACAATACAAGATCAGAACACTTGCACTTTCTAAGTGAGTGCCTCGGCGGGTGTATATGCACTGTTATTTAGAGTCTCCAAAAGGTTAGTGTAATTAGGTGGAGTTTACTCTTGGTTAATAGTGCTTTTTTCTATTCAGGTGTCAATATGTTATCTGTTTATATAATTATTCCTACCGTGGTCATTTAACATATCAGAAAGGAAAATCAAAGTAGGCTTCTTAGTCAAAGGTGGTAATTATTATATAGGGCCATATATGACATTGAGAATAAGTCTAGAATCTTGCAATACAATTCAAACAAAAAAGCAAACATGGAACAGTAGTTCAAGTATTGAAGGATGCAGAGATGAAAGTTAAGAAGGATCCATGGAAGATAGGAGGTGTAAAGGAGGGCTTATGGGAGGTGGGACACGCTACCAACCATAGCAGCAGCAAAAGCAAAAGTATGAAACCAACAGTTTTCAGGAAAATTCTGGATTCTGGGGAGCCCAACTGGAAGCAATGTTTTCCTTAACAATTTTAACTTTCACCTTAGTCTCTTTCAGTCATTATTGCCATATCTTTCAAGCTGCTTTAATGGAACTCAGAAAAATTCCCTCTGAGCTGAAATGTGACAGTGCAAGGTCCCAGTCAAGGGTAGTGACACTTTCAGTCATTGGTGAATAATGGAGATGAAACATGTCTGGTCACTTCTGCATTTCAGGAAATCACTGGCAATAGGCCTTTGCAAACACCATAAATGCAGGCTCTGCCAGGGGAAAGCCCCATAGATGGATGGCAACTTGGAATCCGATAAACGCTACTGAATGCTCAGTAGTCTCTAATGCAAACAAAGTATACTTTAGTATTAAGCTGCAAAGAGCTCTCTACACTTCAATAAAGCAGCAACATATATGTTCACTTAGATACCACAGTGATAGTTGCTTTAGATATTGTTACGAATTATACCTGATAGGTCACGCACACAACTGCTGCAAATTATACCTGATAGGTATAATTTGCAGTTGTGGACTTTGTTCATGTGCCTCAGCCTAGATTCGAACTGGGCGTGTCCTATCAGGTCACGCACAAAACTGCTGTGGAGTTCCCAAAACACACTAAGTTTATTACGCTCGAGCGTGGTGCCCCCCTGCTAGTCAGGAGGGGACCCCGAATACAGATTATACAAAGGTTATATACCTTTTAGCAAAGCATGTTGCCCTCGTGCATCGGAAACCTTAGCCAATAAACAAACCCTTTTCTTATCTACCACCTATCCCTGCTTGGTGTATTCCTCGTGCTAAACTAGTATGTTAATTACACAACATGGTCCTAAAGCAATGCATCAGTAACTTTTATTATCAGGATGGGAGGCCTTACATCAAAGGCCAGGAGATAGGGAGTTAGGGACAGACAAAGAACAGATACCGGGAGTCAAGGCAGGCTGGAGACAAGGAGGAGGATTTTCACAGGAATGCAGTATCTAAGGAACACTCCTCCTGGTGCATGATGTGCTTGCTTTTAGACAATGGTGGGCCCCAAACCAAAATGGAGTCACGTGTGCTAACTTTTCCTTAACAATATATTGCAAACAGCCCCTTTTTAAGACTACTACCAGTCTGAAGAGACTGTTGGAGTGATTTTCTTACCTCTGATGGAGGTCACTCCCTTGCTGGATACTGCAATCTGATCTCTGCTAGAAAGGAATCATCACTGGGACTCAAATGTATTAAGAGCAAATATTTTGCCTTTATAATGCACCAAGTAGCAAGTATTTCTAGAAACTCTTCTGCGAAGAAGATGCACTGGAACCACTACAAAGTCTTTATTTACACACAAAACAAGGTCCTATACTGTCAAGATTCTCACTCTTTCCTTCCAGAACAAAGTAGCAACACTTGCTGTAAATGGACTTAGAAAGTACGTTGTCCTAGTGGTGTTGCCTCCTTCCTGGTGTGTTTGGCTGAGAAAACAAATATTTCCTAGTCCTTCCCTGACCATCTCCTTGGGAAAGGGGTTTAACCAGAGGCTTGTGGGTGGGGGTGTTTTGTGGGATTCCTTTCCTCAGATGCTGACAGCACATCACCGAGCAACAGCACCACCACTCACTGCTCCGTCAGTCCAGAAAAGCTCCCCCACAACACACCCTGTCACCTCTTGACTTCACCTCTAGAAAACTTTTCAGACCCCCAAATCAGCTCAAAATCCAGATTAGTGATTGGTCTTCAAACCTTGGGGAAATTCAGATTCAAATCCAGATCCAAACTTTGTGGCGCATGCCCAACTCCAATTTTAGACAAAAACCATCTCTGGTTAAAAATAAAGAAAATCAGCTTTCTACATCTATAGTAGCACAGGCTCCCCCCGTACTACTCCAAACTTGCTGTGGTCCCAGCTGCAGACAACAGGAGTCAGAAATTTTTGTTCTGCAGATATCTGTAGAAAGCTACAAGATAGGAAAGGAAAATGAACCCTGGGCAGCTATCCAGTATTGTAGCACAATGAACAGTTAAGACCCTCTATGATTTATAAAGAAAAGATTGAGACTAAAACACAGTATCACTGAAACCTGAGCAGACGGCACAACTATTTAAAAAATTAGAGCAAGTCCAAAAAAATAAGATTTTAATAGCAGTTTCTATCTGACATTCATTCACTCAACAGCTCCGTTTTCTCCCCTTGCCATAGCTACTGCGTATTAGGGAGGTAGAGTACCTATGCCAATGGGAGAAGCTCTCCCATCGGCATAGATAGCGTCTTCACTAAGTGCTACAGCGGCACTGGTGCAGCACTGTAAGTGTAGACAAGCCCTGAGACGCTGCTATAGATTTATCTTAAACTCTTGTCTGATGATTGGTTGAAACATAGGTTTGGTGATCTGATCTTAAGTTTCTCCCTTTCCTTCCCAAGAAGTGAAGAATACAGAGCAATGTTGTCAAACCAGATAAAAATATACAAAAGGCTGCATCTTCCTGAAAAAGATGTTCAATTTCGTTCCCGTCCAGGAATGGAGATTTCAGTTTATTAATTTGTTTAGGTTTAGAGCACCACCAGTCCAACACTGATGGGGCTTGTGCTTTCTGGTCATTCTGTGAGGTACTTCCAGATTCACCTCTTCTCTTTACAAGAAAATTGTTACACACTTGAAGTTTACAATAATAGAACTTTGCAGCTATTTTTGATTAAGGCAATCAGAATGGATGTAAGGATGCATGGGAAGACTTGATATTTTGGTGACTTTAAGCAAGTGCTTTCCAACTTTTTCTACAAACAGTCCACACATTACATAAAGGCCAAGCTCAGCCTCTCCCTGGATTTTGGCTTTATTAAAAAAACGAACAACGAAATATCGTAAGGACTAGCTCAAACCTCTGCAACTGCTCATAGTACTCCTCCTTTAGGACTGCTCAGCTCATATCCCAGATCCTTTTCCGCACAGAGCCTCTCATGTTTCATATTGGAGTAGATTAACCAATCACCAGACCCCAAAGAATCAGGAGAAGTCAGAATCCTCTCTCAGCAACATCAACACCTGAATAGGAAAACACTGCCAGCCAGTAACCATCAAGATTTATTGTCCCTTGAGGCAAGTACTGATCATGAGATGATTCTGTGATTCTCAGGTCTGTAAATTTTGATAATCGCAACATAAATCTGTATCTGATCTTTTACAAAATGTTCCTGGCCCAAAAGGGCCCCTTTCTTGGTGTATCATTACCCTGTCCACCACCAAATTGGTACTGACTGACGAGCTTCAACGGAACTAAGTCACAGCTTCCTTTTAAAGAAAAGGAGTACTCGTGGCACCTTAGAGATTAACCAATTTATTTGAGCATAAGCTTTGAAAGTTTATGCTCAAATAAATTGGTTAGTCGTTAAGGTGTCACAAGTACTCCTTTTCTTTTGCGAATACAGACTAACATGGCTGCTACTCTGAAAGCTTCCTTTTAGGATTGCATCACTCCAAAGAATTTTTAATTTAATTATTAAAAAAAATGTTTTAAGGCAGAAACAAATGCTTGCATTGTTGGGATGTCTCTAGCCATCTTAATCAGAATAGAAACAAAAATATCTTGACAGGGAGAAAGGTGTCCTACCTAATAGAAACAGTAAAGTATCATACATTGATTACCGATCTATAAAGGCATCTTCGACCTATCATAGATTTGAAAGACTATTAAATCAGCATATGGCAATCTATACCAATTAGTGTTTCATTGATATTTTACATGTAGTGACAGACCTTTTACAGTTCATTTTTACAGTGATTTTATCTGTAAAATAAAAGAGTCCTTTCCTCTTAGTAGAAGCTCTGCTGTATTTCTGTAAGTAGGGATTACGTGACAGAACATAAAACACACCCATAACCGCTTTGCAAACACACAGTCCAATGGCCACACTAATATTGTGTTTTGGATTGTTTCTTCACTGCTGTACACATCTGTGCTGATGGCTTTTTCTGTTGCAGCTGGTGTGTTTGCATTTCTAGTTTGGTGAGGGTTAGACTCTGACCCGTCATAGCAAGTTTTCACTCTCGTGTCATGTTCGAGCCAAGAATCCCTCCTTAGCTCTCAGAAGAGTGCCTAGGGAGAGGGCCATCTAATCGGCTATGTACCATGTCTCCAAGGGAGTTTAAGAGCATGCCCAGAGCAATGTAGAGTATCTCCTGTTGTCAGCAGCAAGGGCTAGATGGGGTGAATACAGCTGCTGCTTTTCAAAGTAGCAGCAAGCTATATCAATGTGAACGATAATCTTGATAACTGTTAATGACACTGAAATGATTGCAAATGTAGTCAATTCTGGGACAGATATCTGTCTGACTTTTGTTGC